TTTCAAAAATCAGTTGACCATAGACAAATCAGCGTGTTTGGACCCTTTGTCTCTAACCTCTGACCTCGTCTATGTTCTCATCCCCAGGGGTCAGTATTTGGATTATGAGAAGGAGGAGGTGGAAGCTCAGCCCCAACAGTGGAAGAAATATGACTTTTACTAGGACAATGTGCTCTGGGCTCTGCTGACACTGTTCACAGTGTCCACAGGAGAAGGGTGGCCCATGTGAGTGCTCACTGGCTCATTGTGGCAGATCACGCTAGAGCAGAGAGGCAGCTTGGGTAGGGAGTCTCAAACTCTGCCTCCGTTTGTGCTCTAGTCTTCCAGCAAATACCCCATAGGCTCTTGCACCCACCAGGTAAGACATGGCTCTGCCTTCCAGGAGCGGGCAACCTGGAAAGAGGATGAGATTAAGACAAAGTACACAGCATAGTGATCTCCTGAAAATCGTTTTTGAGTGGCTGAAGGTCAGAGGGAGGATGGGGCTATTTGGTGTCTCCCTGTGCTACCCTTCTGGCCTCAGTTAAGGGTAGACAGAGGGATGTATGTATTCAGTGCCACACTGGATGACTGGGGACTTCCTTTGGGGCTGGGAGGACCACGGCTCAGAAGGTAGGATCAATGCTGCGCCAGGAGCCCAGGGCTTTCTAAAGGAAGGTGAACCCGGGTATGACCTGGTGAGCTGGGCATGAGCAGGCGTGAGCCAGGAGTAAGCAGGACAGGGCAGAACTCCTGGGCCTCCACCTGTCCTGGGGTTGGGACCTCCAGTCCCTGGAGACCTCCCCTTGATGGCCCTCCAACAGCCCTGAGAACAAGCCCTATAGGGAAGGTAGTCTACCTCAGGAGACTGCGGTCCTGGGGAGGAGGCTGGGGCCCGCAGTGTTGAGCATCCCCTTCCTCTTGCCATCTCTGGGCTCAGATATGCAAGCCTCACCTGTGATACAGGTCTTGACTTTCCCATGGCTCTTTCCTCAGGGGCCCCCCTGACACTTGGTGTTTGCCCTTTGGTGCAGGGTCCTGAAACACTCTGTGGACGACTCCTATGAGGAGCAGGGCCCAAGCCCTGGGTATCTCATGGAGCTGTCCATCTTCTGCGTGGTCTACTTGGTGGTCTTCCCCTTCTTCTTCGTCAACATGTTTGTGGCCTTGATCATCATCACCTTCCAGCAGCAGGGGGACAAGGTGATGTCTGAATGCAGCCTGGAGAAGAACGAGGTGGGTGGCTCCCTCTTCTGCCCCATGCGCACGTGTGCATTGGATGCTCTGCTGGGCTCCCCTGACGGGCAGCATGGACAGAACCACTGGACTTCCCTTCAGCATGGGACTCGCTCATCACCACATAGCTGGTGGCCAGCACAGGGGCAGGGAGAGACTGAGTGTGACTGGTCAGGGCTGCCTGCGAGGATGGAAGAGACAGGTGTGGGGTGCAGTGGGTGCTGCAGTGTGGGGTTCCCCCCCACCCCACCATGTTCTCAGTGCTCCTTTGTCCCCGGGCAGAGGGCTTGCATCGACTTC